GAACCTGATATTTCTCACCTACGGGTTTTTGGTTGTGCTGTCCAAGTTCCTATTTCACCCCCACAACGTACTAAAATGGGTCGCCAACGAAGACTTGGGATTTATGTGGGTTTTGATTCACCATCTATTATTAGATATCTTGAACCTTTAACGGGTGACTTATTTACTGCACGTTTTGCAGATTGTCAGTTTGATGAAATGACTTTCCCAACTTTAGGAGGAGAAAAACTACATCCTGAAAAACAAGATATAATTTCTTGGAATGAGACAACTCTATCTTACTTTGATCCCCGCAGCAATCAATGTGAACAAGAGGTTGAAAAAATCATTCATTTGCAAAGAGTTTCAATTCAACTACCTGATTTATTTGTTGACACGAGAAAAGTGACAAAGTCATATATTCCAGCAAAAATTAATGTCCCTGCAGGACAATCTGCTATGGTAAATGAATCTCAAATACGCCAGAAGCGTGGTCGACCAGTTGGTTCAAAAGACTCTGTACCTCGAAAAAAAGAGTATAGGAGAAAAACCAACCAAAAACTTAAGAAGAAATCACATTAGAAAAGATTGATCAATCAAATATTGAATGTACGGTTCCTGAAGAACCAGAGGTGTCCGAAAATAATGAGATCTCAATAAATTATATGATATCTCATAAATTATGGGCACGGAATAATATTGTTATAGACAATATTTTCGCCTTTAACATGGCTCTTGATATTATGTAAAATGAGGATCCTGAACCACGGTCTGTTAATGACCGTCAAAATAGAAATGATTGGCCAAATGGAAAGAAGCCATATAGGCAGAATTGAATTCTTTGGAGAAACGAAAAGTGTTTAGATTAGTAGTTCGAACACCTGAAAATGTAATCCATGTTGGATACAAATGGATTTTTGTACGAAAGAGAAATGAGAATAATGAAACTACAAGATACAAAGCCCGACTAGTAGCTCAAGGTTTCTCCCAAAGACCGGGAATTGATTATGAGGAAACATATTCTCCCGTAATGGATACCATCACTTTTAGGTTCTTAATTAGTTTGACCGTGTCACAAGGACTTGATATGCGCCTTATGGATGTAGTAACTGCCTACCTATATGGTTCACTTGACAGTGACATATATATGAAAGTCCCTGAAAGATTTAAGGTGCTAAGAATAAATGATACATGTCCGAGAACTATGTTTTCAATTAAATTGCAAAAATCATTATATGGATTGAAACAATCCGGACGCATGTGGTATAATCGCCTTAACGAATATTTGTTGAAAGAGGGTTATAAAAATGACGATATCTACCCATGTGTTTTCATAAAGAAAACAAATATTGGATTTGCAATTGTGGCAGTTTATGTTGATGATTTAAATTTAATTAGAACTCCTGGAGAGTTCAACAAAACTGCAGATTATTTGAGAAATGAATTTGAGATGAAAGATTTGGGGAAAATCAAATTTTGTCTTGGATTATAAATTGAACATTTTCCAAAGGGATTATTTGTTCATCAATCTACTTATACAGAAAAAGTCTTGAAACACTTTTATATGGATAATACACATCCATTGCCATCACCTATGGTTATTCGATCACTTGATGTGGAAAAAGATCCATTTCGTTCACTTGAAGATGGAGAAAAGATTCTTGGTCCTGAAGTACCATACCTTAGTGCAATTGGAGCATTAACTTATCTTGCAAATTGCACTTGACCTGACATAGTTTTTTCTGTAAATCTCCTTGCAAGATATAGCTCTACACCACACCAACTCAAAGGCATTGGAATGGTGTTAAACATATTTTTCGTTACCTAAAAAGTACTATTGATATGGGACTATTTTATTCTCAAAAGTCAGGATCTGTTTTAGTGGGATATGCAGATGCAGGTTATCTCTCCGATCCACATAAAGCTAAATCACAAACAGGATATGTGTTTACCCGTGGAGGAACAGCTATATCGTGGAGATCTGTGAAGCAATCCTTGATAGCAATATCCTCAAATCATTCTGAGACTATTGCAATTCATGAAGCAGGGCGAGAATGTGTATAGTTGAGGAATATGACCCATCATATCCAATCATCATGTGGATTGACTTCAACAAAAGATAGTCCAACAATTTTGTTTGAAGATAATACAACTTGTATTGTACAACTCAAGGGAGGCTATATTAAAGGCGACATGACCAATCATATTTCTCTAAAATTCTTTCATACACATGAACTTTATAAGAATGGTGACATTGATATTCAACAAATTCGCTCAAGTGACAATGTGACCGATCTATTCACAAAAGCGCTACCAACATCTAGATTCAAGAAATTAGTTCATGAGATTGGAATGCGTTGACTCGAAGATTTTCAGTGATCAACATCAGGGGGAGTAGTTGTACTCTTTTTCCTTCGCTTAGGTTTTGTCCCATTGGGTTTTCCTAATAAGGTTTTAATGAGGCAGCATTTAATTTTAATACTCCAAAATAACTGTACTCTTTTTCCTTCGTTTGATTTTTTTTTCCTATTGGGTTTTTATCAAACAAGGTTTTAACGAGGCAGATATTTTGTAATATGTCATTTAAGGAGGAGTGTTGTAAATGGAAAATTCATTAAAGTTTATTGGTGAATGACATTTGTACTCTTGTAGCCCTAGAAATTATTATCATTACATCCCTGATTCTTACCTATAAATATAGGGTTTTGATTTTCAATAATACATACAAAAAGTTTATTGAGTTTTCTCTATTCTCTTTTCCTCTCATGACAATATATGGAAATTGTGGGAAATGTCAAAATTTGACATGTTGTCTTGAAAAATGGCCAAAAAAATGCATGTTTTGCATCCATGGTTTTTTTTTTTTTTTAAGGCGTCATATTTTTAACAATTTGTCCTAATATGCATAAGTCAAAACAAGTGGACGTGAGTGGAATCAAGTGGGTTAGTTCCGGTATTTCAATACCTGGAACCACCAATTATATTTCGGATATTTCATAAATGAAACTATTTGAGTCTTTATAATTATTGGAACCAAACCTAAAACCAAATCGTCGATTCCACTTCAGGTTTGATTCGACCCATAACTTTTCTTTTATATATAAATTTAATAAACATTTTCTATAAGCCCTTTCTACACGAATACCAAATACGCTACTACTCAACAAGCAAAAGAGAAAATCCAACTAAGAAATTTTCAGGAAGTTAAGATATCTGGTTACATGATTGAAAATAGTGAACTAAAAATCATGAAAAGATGATAAGATTAAAATATCAAAATCAAATTACAGTTTGAAAAGAAACAATTTTTTAAAAATAAATCTTGTTCTATCCACAACCTAACCCAAACCCCAAATCCAACCCCAAAAATTTCTTGAAAAATGTGTGGTTAAAAAGAAATGAAAAGTTTTTATGTTTACGTGTAATATTATTTTCTTTAAGAATGTATGATTGATAAAAAGAGAGAGGAAAATGAATTTTAATTTAATGATGGCCGGGACTAAATTATAGTTTGACTCTAGTTCAATTAGATTTTGATTCGAAACGTTCGATTTCGATTAAAATATCCAGTCTAACCCAACCCTGCTCCCAACTCCAAAAACTATAACGCTTCGTGTCGTAGCTTAAGAAATATTTTTCGTCCAATTTCAATTTGGATGAACAACGTCTTTCCATAAGTTACGATTCCTAACATGAAAGTTCTGAAAAAATTGTGGGCCACTTATTACAAAGGACGTACAACCTGCTGGGAAGCAAGCTGCTTCCCTTGCTTATGGACATAAAAAACCTATTGAATATAACTAATAATTGGTCCATTCGGCGCGAAAAATGCCACCAAAAATTTTCGAGGCAAGAAATTTCTCTAATCGGAGGAAATTAATGGAGTAAAAAAAAAAAAAAGAAAAAAAAATTATTTTTAGATATTTTATTTGTTTAAGATACTTTAATTAATTAAGGGCAATATTGTCTGATTAATTTAGGGCTTTGAGTCCCAATTCTTGGCTATTTTTGAATATCAATAAAATCGTTGAGATTGTTCTTCAATTATGCACAATCTTTTCTCATTTGTGATCTTATTTGTGATCTTCTATTATCCTTGTTACACTTTCATTAATTAGTCAAAGTTGAATGGACATTGCACTTTATTCTGAAATACTTTATAATTACTGTAAAAGTAATATTTAGCCCCCTTTTTTTTCCATTATTTATCTATTAAAATAAAAAATATGACTGTTATCCATCACATCAAATCACCATATTTGACTTTTTATCTCTTGTATGGGGCTCGTAATGATTATATTTTTCATTCTCATTTTTATTTTAATGTGTACCAAACAGGGCCTTAATACCAATTTGTTGGAAGGATTTGATGAGTCTCGAATGAATTAAATAAAATAAAATTTAGGAAATTTAAGAGAAGAAAATTATACTCTCAAAACTCAACTTCTATGATTCAAATTTTTTACGATAATGAAATATTATAAATGAGCAATCTTTTTATACTACATTTGGTACATAAGAATTAATTGCTAATACATGAATTCAAACATCCATTAAAATTTTTAGATACATGAATAGAAATAAATTCATTTATAATAACTCTAAATTCATGTGGATCAAAATTCTTCAAGTCAAGACTAATTGGGTCTAGATTAATGTGAATGTTAATTAATTGAGAATTAATAACACGAAATTCATATATCACAAGGATTTTGTAATATTTATTACATATTAAAAAAAGAAAAATAAGGCATTATTGAAATAATTAAAATATAGTAGGGTTAAAATAGTTCAAAAAGTAATTTTCACTTGATATGATAATTATATATTATAAATTATAGATTATAGATACGTCTGATCAATGCGATACCTATTGAGCCACTGACCCTTAGCCTTAGTCTGATCAATATGGGTGAAAATCTTAAAGTTATTGATGTGTAAAAAAATAAATACTTCTCTCTTTTTCTTCATATCGATGGTTGAAGTTGATTTGCTTGAGACGGTCAAACTTCTTCCAGCAATAGTAGTCAAGGATACAAATTGATTAAAGCAAAATTAAGAAAATTGACAAACGCCAAACATATACAAGGTTACAAGAAACACTTCTAGTTATATTTAAATTACATTTAGTTAAACTCCTCAAATCCCAACACAAATACAAAGATCGTGTTTATTCTTTACCAGACCGAAACCAAACTTAATTCCACACCTTAAACAAAGAATATTGAGATAACATTTAAGGAGCTTTTAATTAATTCACCTTCTTGCAATCCAATCGAATCTGTCCTCTCTTCCCCGTCAATGGTTTTATATTGCCCATTTTAATCATTGAAGACGCAAAATCTTTGGAAAAAGCACCAAAATTTTTAGTATAAGTCTTAACAAGATAATCGGTTTGACCTCCATTGTATAATGCTTGATCAGAGTGGAGGAGCCCTTTCTTTGACACCAAATTGCTGAAGTATTTTGTGTCGAAAGAAGCAGTGGTGGGATTTAGAGGAGCAAGATTAGAGTCACCTCCATTGGGGGGACAAGTAGCTCGACGTTGACGAGCAAAGCTGGGATCAATGTTGGTTTCGTTGTAAATACGGTCTTTAAAGAGACCACATTGAGACAACCCTAGGGTGTGGCCACCGGAAAGGGCTACGAGATCTTTCACGTTCAGGCCTTGTTTCTTGAATGAGTTGATAAGTTCCGGTAAATCCATGGATGGTGAAGGGATGTCATCGTTGGCTTTAGATTCACTAGCCGTCGTTGAGTCTCTCCTCCCAAGTTGAACCTCCCAACTTGGTCCCCCTAACTGCACCCAATGAAACAATTTTCCTTGTTAAATATATCTCCAGATAACATTCGTCAAATTTATAAATCAATAAGGAAGAATAATAGTGGATCACACAATGTGTGCTGTAATAATGAGTAATAGTTATAAATGTTTGGATATCAAACGTGTTCTTGTGTAAGTTAAATAATACGTACTGCAACTACGGAATCACGTGCTGCAACCGCCAAAATGTCAGCACAAGACACTACCGGACAGCCGCAAACCTTATCAACCTCGTACTTGATTCTATCAATGATTTCAAATCCTCTAGCAGAGTTGGCATTGGGCAATGCATTCTTTTCGCTAGTGAAAGCAGACGTCGAGTCTAGAAGAATGGAAGCATCGCAGCCCTGCAAAAACACCAAAAAAAAAAAAAAAAACAAAGGCCATTACTGAAACAAATCTCCAAAATATTAGAAAACAATGACAAATTTTCGACCATCTTACGTTAACGAAACAGTCATGGAAATGAAGACGGAGTAAAGAAGCCCCCATGCGTCAATGCAGAAACTATATGAACCCCATAAATGAAAGATTAAACATGACCAGGACGGCAATGCAGAAACTATATGAACCCATTTCGATGAACTCTAATGCAGCGAGCTAAGATAATTAAATAATTGTGGGATGATTTGAGAATTAACATAGAACTATACTTATAGGGCATGCATGATGCAGAAGATCCATATTAAGACTGGGACAACACGGAAACTCTAGGATTTAATTGCCGCTTTAATTTTCTAAACTGAAACTCCTTTTTTTCTCGCCTCTGACTATGTATCATTTTAAAACACGAAGGTAAGTTTTGCAAGAAATTGAAAGAGTCATATGAAATTGCTGTCTTTTTCATTTATACATTGCATCATTATAATCACATTTAAGAACTATGGATTGGTTGGTTTTGTCATAGATATTTAATTTATAATTGAAATGGTTACTTTCATTTATGAACTAAGGTTGAATTGATCTAATCATCGCATAATTTTCCCCGATGCTTGAGGTTAAAAACTTGCAGTCTTTTACTCTAAAACTCATTGCAAGTAATTCAATTCTGTGTACAGTCCGGGAGAATTAGCTCCAAGTATCTAGAAATTGGTATTTTTAAACCCCAAGGGAAAAAACTTCTTGTTAGATCCAAATTCCAAGGGGAAAAAATTATTGTAATTTTAACCTTGAAAACAAAATATGAGTGTTTTTCTTTATATTCAACGGGCAAACTTTTGGATAATGTATTATTAAACATCGTATTAGAGTATACGCCAAGATCCTGCTTTGAATTCTTACTGTTGTGTCCATATATTTCACCTGCTAAGTATTTGCCTAGATACTAAATTGAGTTTGACTATGAAGAAAATGTTGAATATTAAGAATAGACAAATGAAACTTAATCCATATATATTTTTTAATTTCAGCTCTTACATGATAACAACTATTTTTACATAAATAGCATCAATAATTTTATTATTATTATTATTATTATTATTTTTTATAAACTTCAATATTAAACACAATGTTCCGCAATTGGTACTTTTCAACGTATTACACTCCTTTACATCAACCAAAAAAATTGAAGAAAAGTATAAAAAGAAAATGTTAATTGTCTACGCCAACAACAATCATATATCTCATGATTCTTTAAAAAAAATAATAAAAAATCCTTATTTTAGAATTTATGACCGAAGAAAGAAGTACTATATATTTGAAGAAATCTATATGAATGGGAGTTTTCATCTTACTGTATTAACCAAATGCAAAGACTATTGAGGCATTTCGGCGTAAGGCTAATTCAAATGGACATGGTCAATAGAATTCCCATGAAAGGAACCAGTTTATTGATAAACACTTTATATTACCTAATCAGTTTACTTCAACTCCAAGAAAAGACTTTTATATATTTCATTCATACCAGTTTTTCAATGCGAAAACCAAAAAACTAATTAATTGTTGAACTAATGTCAATATATAATTACTCTCCGCAAATTAAATTGTATTAATACAGCTGGTCACTAATTAAAATTAGGAGTTGTGGTCAGAGAAGTAGTCTATTACTTTTATCTTTGAATTACTAATCATTAAGGAAGCGAAAATGTCGTCTTATAATTTACGAGGTTAAGAATGTTAGATTATTTTTTTAGTCAGTCAAATTTACAAATAATTACAATGCATGTAGGTTGTAATTATCTTTGAATGTTAGATCATGAACATGTTTGGAAATAGAGGTGAGAAAAGCAAAGTGCTTGGGACTAAAGAAACAATAAGAAAGAAAGTTGAGTGAAGAGTGAACCGTACCTGAGAAAGTCTGTGGAAGGCGTGAAGAACTTGGAAGATCGGAGCAGACGTAATCTTGTAGGTACGTTGGGCGAGTCGTCTTTCATTGTGGTCGAGTAGAGATAGTGGGGGACGAGGTTGTCATGATGATATCACTAGGAAAGGAATCAGGTAGATTGTCATGAGGAGGATCGGTGGGAGGACGGTGCTCCACTTCAGGTAGATGGGGAACAAAAGGAAGGATGGTGCTTTGATACCATGTTAAGATTTTGGGTCCATCTTAATAAGGTCAATCTTATTAAGAAAAGTAGCCCAAAATATTTTTAAGTTGGTCAATATTTCGATATTTAACCAATGTGAAATTTTTATCCCTTAACATGCCTTCGCAAGATGGTGACTCATTTGAGATGACCAATCTTGAAATTCGTGTGCTCATTTTTAGAGTCTTAACCGGATCGAATTCCTCGTTGAAACTTAATGGACTCTGATACCATGATAAAAGAAGAGGTGAAGGAAAATATTCTATATTTTACTGTGTTTCCTTGATGATTCTGTAAATGGGGATTAGATGCATATATATAGAACAAAGATACTACAACACAAGGAAAGATAAATCTTCTGCTGGAATAATGTAATCTGTTGGGGCTTGACTGGTGAAATTTCTGCTGGAATAATTTGTTGGACTGGTGCAATTCTTTGCTGGAACAATGTAATCGATTGGGGCTTAACTGGTGCAATTTTCTACTGGAATAATGTGCTGGAAATGGCAGTGAATTGTGAAGCTTAACTGGTGCAACTATGAAGCTTAACTGGTGCAATCTCTCTGCTGGAATAATGTAATTTGTTTGCCGGCTAATAAAAGGTGTAGTGAAAAGACTTCACTAGATGTTTGTTAATTTATGAAGGCATATACGAATGAGGGGGAAAAAACACAAAACAAAACAATTAAAAGAATCGGTACGAAATGATTAGGTCACAAACATGACTTAATTACGAGTAAAATGATTGAATTGTGACTTAATTTCGTTACATTTGTAAATTGTAGGTAACACCGATGAACATGGTGAAATACATGAGAAAAGATGCGAAAAAAGACTAAAATGACACAAAGTGAAAGTTCAAGGACCAAGGTGCAATTACCCAAAAGTTGACCCGATGAACAAATCAAGGAATTGGCTGAACCAAATGCCAACTGATGATGCCTTGGGATGATAGAATGGAAAGAGTGAAGAAAAGAGGCCTAGAAGTGAAAAATTCAAGTAAAGGGACTAAATTGAAGTTTTTGGAAGTTGAAGTCTACCATGCGGTCGCATGGTAGAACTCTCGTGCAGCCACACGAAGGGATGCAGGGAATTCAATTGGAAATATAGAATAACCATGCGGTCGCACGGATTAAAACCATGCGATCGCATGGCTATTTGTCCGATATGAAATTTTCTTTCTTTATACGATTAAAATTCTTTTATAACCTAATGTTGACGGGATATAAATATTAAAAACATTCCAGAGACGACCATAACGCAATTGGAGGCCGAAAAACACTTCTTGGAGAGGATTTGAGCACAAGAACAAAGATTGGCACGAAGAACTTCAAGATTTCATAACTCGGTGATGTCTTTTATTCAAAACATGATGTATTTTGTTATTTTAATCATGCTAGGCTAGATTCTTATTATGCTAGGAGATCGATGAACCATGTGATTTGAATTTTAATATCCTCGTTTTGCAATTTGATGTTAAGACACAATTTTTATTGTTTTGAATGATTTATATGCAATTATTGTTTCTGTAATTAAGGGCTCGTAATTGTGTGAATTTAAGTGATTTATTCTTGCATTCGAGAGAATTGGAATAGATTTGACATAATATAAATCATCGTAGGGACCGATAGTGGATAGAAATATACCGCTATGCCCTACGTGAATCTTTTAAGTGTTCATAAAACCACATGCGTTTTTACATATGCTCTTGTCATAGAAATATATGCCAGTGGTATGTAGAAATATGTTTGATATATCTCGAGAGAGAGTATTGGATAGACTTAGGAACGTTGATTCGTCACAATTGAAGTGTGTTATCATATTGTGAAACTAGGGTTTAAAGTGATAATTGCATGGGAAATCGTGATCCTAGCGTATTTAATTTCTAATAATTATAACAACGTGCGTTCTCAACTTTTAGTTTTATTCTAGAGTGTTAAAATATTGTTTGAGTTTTAATTTTAATTTACTCATTAAATTTGCATAATTAGGGTTTCTTTTTGAAATTAGAGTCTTTAATTAGGTCCATATCCACTTTGGCAATCTAGTTTCGGTTAAGGCTACGTTAGATAAAATTTGAACTAATCAATCTCTGTGGGACGATATTCGGACTCATTGAATCCACTTTATTACTTGTTAACGAACCGTACACTTGCGGTAGTTTTAAATCGAAAGAAATAATTTCGCGAACAAGTTTTTGGCGCCGTTGTCGGGGATTGAATTTAGTTTAATTTTATTTCTCGAGGCACTAATTCGAACTTTAATTTTTATTTTGCTAGTATAATTTTGTTTTTATTTTTATTTTAGGTTATTATCCTTTATTTGTGATTTAGTTATTTAAATTGTTTGAATCTCAGTGCTCGTACTGATTTTAATTCTCAGATTTGCATGTCACGATTGCCTGGAGGAGAATTGATTCCAGCTGATTCTGAAATTGAGCGCACCTTTCATCGACGACAAAGAGATCACTGCAAAGCACAAGTACAAATGGCCAAAGAATTAAATAATCCTATTATTCAAGCTAATGAAGGAGAGACAATGGATGAAGGAAATGAAATTCTGGGGGATTTCTTGACTCCTCAAGTTATTCAAAGCCAATCCAGCATTGTATATCCACTGTTTGGGTAGCCCAATTTTCAATTGAAGACCAATGTGATACAGCTGTTTCAAAATGGACACCAATTTTATGGCAAAGCCGAGGAGAATCCACACACACATGTATCTCGATTTCTGGATATGTGTTAACATTTCAGATACCAAGGGATTTCGGATGACGCTATTAGGTTAAGGCTTTTTCCACATACGTTTTGAGACAGAGCACTTGAATGGTTGGATTAACTCCCGGTTGCGAGTATCACTACATGGAACGAGCTGGCACACAAATTCTGCACAAAGTTTTTCTTCCCAGCAAAGATAGCAAAGCTGAGACATGACATATTGGTATTCAATCAAGGAGAAACTGAATCA